TAAGGTAAGACTTCGTGCTGTTTCTTCAGCTTCTGAAGTTGGACCAGAAAATGAAAGCTATGTCAACATAAAAATGTTTTTCTTGGTTATATTTCGAGAACTGCTTTTAAATTCTGGAACTGCAGAACTGTTCTACTTGGTACAAGGATGCACAACTTGTCAAACCTACTTGATCAGTTATGAAAGTTATCAGACATTATTTGATCTACTTGTCCAATATTTCAAATTCTGAATCAATAGAATGATGTGAAATCATCAGTGATAATTCCAGGCTCTCATCTTTGTCTCTAAAGATTGTGTCTAACTTTATAAATATTCATATTTAATACTAAAACATTTTTAGGCAATTGAGAGATGACAAAGCAGAAAATGTTAAAAAACTTTGAGATGAAATGACTCTCATATTTCTTATGATGCCAGGAAAGGCAAGAAAGGTGAAATTCCTAAGTTATTCACTTTGTCTATCAGAAATGACCACGCAAACCATGTCTTGTCAGTTTTGTACTCAGTCTAAACCAGTTCAGATAAGGCCTGATAATGTCAGGCATTATCAAGGGAAAACGAAGTTAGTGTAATATGTATTTCCAAAGTGTTTTACTGTTAAAACTCACATGAAATAGTTGAAATTCGTACACAAAAATTAAATTTTCCTACACTACAAGTGTAATTTTAATTGACTCACACTTCAAAAACATAGTTTCCCTTTAAATTTAGAAACATGTAACACACAAAAAGCACATCTGTGTAATTGAGACATGTGTAAGTATTGCAGGGCAGCTGTGGCTGTGTGGTTGTGGCTCGCGGGCAGAGCATGTTGTCCACTAATCACTGGGTTGAAGGTTTGAGCCCCGAAGCCTCCACATGCATTGAAAATACCCATACCATTGATGGCTGAAAAACATTGCATCGTGCTTTGTAGAACGACGAAGGTTCAAAAGTTGTCAAATACGAGTGCAGACAATTTAAATATTTAATCAAAAATTGCTCACATTTTAAGAAAAAATCTATGGCAAATATATTTTATTGTGTGGTTTTATTATAAAGAACAAATACTATTTCAGGACTGTGTCTCACAATTTGTATTACCACCAAAAACAAACAGACACAGGAAACTGTATCTCCTATATTTTTCTACAACTAAACTACAACAGCAAGTATGTTTTGAAGGAAACATATTAGTGACCAGATTTTGCTTTCTATGAGCATAATACTAAAAATGCTCTTGATTAACATACTTGGAAAGTTGCAAATATGCTGATAGTGAAGACACTAAAATGTTCACTTAAATATTTTAAAATAGTTTTTTGATGCCAAAAAATACAGCTTTTGGCAGAAGTTGGTTAAGGTCAAGGAAAGAAAGAAAAAGTCCACTTAACTTCCCAATCTTGCTAATCTTACATTTTATTGACGAACAACAGAAAGAATGAGTTCTATCCATAAAGTACACCATGAGCTCTCTGTCTCTCTTTGTCAGACTGATTTATAAAGTAGTGACTGTGCCGGCTGCGTCATACCCATAATCAAGAATATTTTTCCCCCAGTAAATGTTCTTCTCTTCCCATTACGATCAATTTCCTCCCTGTGGAAGCCTTTCCTGGAGTCTGGGTCAGCATCTATTTCATTAAGTCCAACACACACACACACACACACACACACACACACACACACACATTCAAAAGAGACATTTTGACTGCTTTTGATATGTACAGCAATACACCATAATTTCACTTCAACATATTCACATACAGTGTGCTTGGTTGTCTCTAAGTGTGACCCTGTGATAGACTGGTGACCTGTCCAGGGTGTCCCCTGCCTTTGTCAGCTGGGATAGACTCCAGCCCCCCGCGACCCCAGTGAGGATTAAGCGGTGTATAGATAATGGATGGATGGGTAATCACATACAGGACAACAGGTTATATGGCGTCACTAATGAGGACAAGAGTTGTTATCACTCTAATTAATAGATGATGCTGATCATTTCACTGAGAACTTCTAATTGCACTAATGAAAACCAAGAGAGAGTGGAGTGGCCACACACTAATGGAACTGCTTAGATTCACTTGTGACTTTTACTGAAAGTTATGAAAGTAGACATATTGTCTAACCTGTATTTACAGACAAACTCACATTCAAATGCATCCTAAGCATCTATATATTCACAGCTCTCTGGCTGCTGCAGCATGCCTTAAGACATGTTCATCGATGATTCTAAATATATCATAGTTGTGAGTGTGCATGGTTGTCTGTGATGGTCTGGCAATTGTCCAGGATGTACCCCACCTCTTGCCCATTGTTAACTGGGATAAGCTCCAGTCCTCCCATGAGTATCTGCAGCATAAAGTGAGTATAGCTAATGGATAATTGAAATCTCTTCTTGATCCCAAGAGACTGAAAATCCCAAAGGAAGTGCTTGTTGTTTTCAGTGTGTTAAATCTTATTGCAAAAGTGATTCATTTTTTCTTGCAGCGGCCTTAACCCAAGTCACATAACAAGATTGTCTTTTCTTGCCACAGTCTGCAATCTTTTGTGCTGACTTTCCAGACTGTATACATAATCTGTAGTGTTTTTGTCTAGTGCCCAAATGCTGTTTTACTGAAAAAAAAATGAATGTATTGATTAAATAATAGCCCAAATTTTGTCACAAATGACAAAAGACAGCAAGACTCACGAGGTCAGACCTTTTTTGGAGGCAGATTAGTTTACATAATTAACTGAGGTATCAACAGCAAAACAAAACCAAAAA